GATCAACATCCAACAAGGGTCCTGTTCCTGGTCCCTTCTCTGCTCGACTCCAGGTGTCGACCTCCTGTCAGTGCTGAGCCGCTCTTTCTCGTGCCCTTTGCGCTCTTCTGGCAACCCAGACGGATCTCCCCGCCTCAATCTCTTGCTTCAGTCGGTGATCAGAAACAAGCGGAACCCCAGTCCTTGGACCGATGGGGTTCGCAAGCTCAAGTCGTAACATCTGATCGTTGAGGCCTGCCCGGTAGTCGGTTTCTGCCTCAGTGTAGTGCTTGACCCTTTGGGCTCGCTCTTCGGCTTTGGCTTCAGCCTCCGTCTTACTCTTGAGTCTTGCCTCGGCCAACTGCCTAGAGGATCCAACGTTGCCATTGGGACAACATTCTATACAAACGACAACGTTGGACCAAAACGTTGTCGTTGGCATACAACGTTGCCGTGTGCATTCTTACTAAAGAATGCATGTTGTATGTTTATCTTAAAGTTGAGCTTGATGACTGCAACAAAAGATTGCAAGCTTGTATGAAGCCAAACCTCAGCAAGCTCCATCGAGCCATTTATCAAGCTTTTGCTCGTGCGACATCGTCGTTCTCGATGCGAACGACAGTGGTTTCTGAAAACGACAACCGCTGCTAAAAACGCAACCGTTTTGTGGAAACGACAGCGGTCGCTGAAAACGCCACCGTTTTATGGAAACGACAGCGGTTGCTGAAAACGCCACCGTTTTGTGGAAACGACAGCGGTTGCTGAAAACGCCATCGGTTTGTGGAAACGACAGCGGTTGCTGAAAACGCCATCGGTTTGCGGAAACGGCAGCGGTCGCTGAAAACGCCGCCGGCTTGTGGAAACGACGAAATGACAGCGGTCCAAGCCATGAGAAAATAACATATAAGGCCTATAGGAAACGATTGTAACTCGGAAGGTCACCTTTAAGAAAAGTGCTTGACATGTGACATAGGACAAAAAACACACCCATATATTCAAAGTAGAGCACACACACACACTATGGGTATACTGACACACACAGGACACAGGAACCAACGCTTGTTTGGCAGCTTGTTCTCGCGCGTTTTCGAAGAAATGACTGCACATGTTTTGAAAGTACCTGACTTATAAGCAAGCACACTCGGGTTTTCTCGGTCACGTTCGCCTGCGGTCTTGGTCGATGAACGCCGCGAAGCACAACAGGTATCTTTGAAAGACCCTTTGGGTCATCGTTTTTCCATGGGTTTTGGCCGCAATGGCCTTGATCTTGCCCAAAAAGGACTCTTCTTCAAATGTATGGGTCAAGTTCTGATTTAATCGAAGTTCACCCACTTCGGTGGCAACATGGTAAAGGTAATGGGTCTTGGGCCTTACCTTGAACAACAAAAGGTGGTTGTCGCAACAGTGGAACGCCAACCAACAAAAGCTTTGCACATAGGAGATGAGCGATTGCTTGGCTTCACGCGCGTCATCGTTGCTCAATACAAGTCCTGCGGAGTCCATGATCTCTATGGCACGCTGTAGACTGTAGGCGCACGTTGCCAGCACATTGAGAAGCAGATCCTTTAAAGCCACCACGGTTAAAAAACAGTAGTTAGAACAGCTCTTGTGCAACACTGTTGTCACATTCAACGAAGGAGAAAACCTTGACGCCACCCTGAAAACTTGTGGAGAAGCCTTCTAGGGTACTCGATGGTGGCCCCTTATGATTTGAACCAAAGTTTTGAGGGCGGGCGATTTTATACAAACTGGTTTCTTCCGGTCTGTTGTCAGCAACTTTTTGAGTTTTCCGTGCCAGCCAAGAGATCATCAGCTTTACATGCGACGCTTTGTAGCGTGTAGAAAGCTCAGCATACTCCGCCGTGCCGCCAACGCTTGCAGTATTCAACACAGGCTTGCATGGCAAACATTGCCTATAGACAACTAGTTGGTGAACAGCATGAATCTACCTGACAGAAACGTACCTATGACTCCTATAACAAAACAATGCAGTTGGTTTCAAGAAAACCTACCATGAACTCCAAGACACCCATTCTTGGCGCAGTCTGCGCGCATCTCTTGGTGGATGCACTCAAGGGTGGCGTCTAGATCACGAGAAGGAACCACATGTTCGTAAACCCCTTGCAAGACCAAAGTCCTGAGTCCAGACGTGGGCCCTCTTTTGCGCACTTGAGCGACGCTCTGTAGCGGAGAGCGTGACGGCGACACTGCCGGCTGTCGCCGCGGGGGCCGAGCGACGCTCTGCTACAGGTGCAGTCACCTCAGTCTCTGTAGCTCTGAGCGGATCTGTGCTGGAATTCGTGCGATTCAAAGTGGCTGGGTCGAGCAATGGACAGGTTTCATGTTTTCCATACACGGTTTCCACTCTCTCTGCAATCCGCACTTTTTCTTGGTCGGGGCTGTCTCTGTTTTCACACATGGGGTGCTCCAAGTCCACCAGGTGTTGCAAGAGAGCGATAACTACAGAAGGTCGAATTTTAGCTCCCGATACCCACTCCAGTGCTTCATTGTATCGCATGCCCTTAACCGTAATCTTCACAAGTGCTTGCAGTGTAGCAGGCGAATGTGGCAAGGACTCCCACGTCCGATGGCCCTGCTGGGTTGGGTCCAAGGTCGCCATGATGTCTTCCCACGGCATGCTGAAGGAACTGACGTTGCCTCGGATGGCTACGCGGTGCTCTGCCTTGTGGATGTCTTCTTCCAACAAGTGTCCCCGGTCTTGTTCAAGGTAGAAGCACACGACTGAGGTCCACACGGGACAGGTGGCCGCAGCCTCGACCCAGCGAACCCGATGCCGATACAACAGCTCTGTCGGGTATCCCAGCCAGTTGTCGTTCGTCAACGCCTGTGGCACGCCAGGTACCCGTCTTTGAGTCATGCGCATCAGGCAAGTGCGACAGAGCGGGACACGACACCGCGGGCACAGCGTGCTGGACTGCGGGCCGCACGTCTTGCAGCGTATATCTTCTGGGCAGCACAAAATGTTCGAGCCGTCGGGCAATTGCCGAACCCACTGCCTGTGCTCCAGGCGCTGTTGGATAGCTGGAATGTTCGCGTACCTGCTGGCATAGGTGTCGTAGCACCAGTTCGCTCGAAAGCTGTCCTCGGTGAGGCTGGAGAACAAGTCCGAGACGGTCTGAAATCCAGTTTCTCCGTGGTTGGCGGCCACGTGGATGCGTGCGCAGCATGCGCAAATCAACCCTTCCATGTGTTGCTCTGTGACTTCTCGTGCCAAGCGGTCAGGGCTACAGCGGCAAGGTAGTCGGACAGCAACTCGCTGGGGCGCGCCTCCGCAAACAAATCTTTGTGTGCAGTGCTGAGATGCGCACGCAAACATGTCGCGGCATTGCCACAGCAGGTCTGCGGACGTTCGGTCCAGCGCTGTTGTTGCACTTGCATCACCCGTGCGTGTGTCCAATTGGGTTGGCAAGGGTCTTCTTTCGAGCACCAGAGACAACCTTGGATGGCACAGTGCACATTGGGAAATAAGATCCCCGAAGCGTGATCTGCTTCTTGCACGTCGAATCCTGAGGTTTTGGCGCGACGCCAAGCAGCCCGATCTAGTCAAGATTCGTTGGTTGGGACCTGCTCACGTGGTCATGAAGGAGTACAAGGAACCTCAACGGCCTGACAGTCAAGTTTCTGTCTACTGGCTCTCCTTCAAGACACAGCTCATCCGCTGTGCACCACACCACGTGCGCCCTGAAGGAAAAGCTGAAAAAGGCAGAGGCCAAGGCTAAGGCTGAAGAAG